TTAGCTCATCTTCTGTCCAGTGTGCTCCGCCTGTGTACTACACTTGTGTAGCATATGGTATCTGGATGACAGTCGCAGGTTCACAGTGCTGTGTTCAAGTATCCCTTATTTTATGTAACTCTGGTCCCAAAGTGCAAGATTGGTCTGTGGTGGTGGAAGTTTGTGTAGAAGAGCAGAAAGGCAGAAAGGATTCCTTTAAGTACACAGGTGAAAATACAATAAAATATTTTGAGACACCGTGTTTACACAATTGTTATTATACTATAGTGTTGTAGTTGCTAGACTTGATTATTACTGTTAAATTCATGTTGCCTAATTTATAAATTAAACATTATCACAAGTACATTTGTCTGTATAGGAAAATCCAATCTATCATTAGGATCTGGCACTAACAATGGCCTCTGTCAGTCCCTGGTACATTTTTCCTGAAATTAGAAAGGGTTATTCTACTTTTATAAAGCAGCACTTCATGACAGTGTTATGGCTGGGTGTGTTTTGGTCTATGAATGACCCAAAATATTATCTCCCAAAAGTTATCAGCACTGTCTGAAGAGGTTGAAAGTACTGATAATATTGACTTTCTAATATTATGATAACACAATATGATTTATTACACTGCTGGGATTGCTAATGTTATTTGTTTGTGAGGAATCAGCGCAAATATTCTAACTCCCAGACTTTCTCTGAACTAAGACTTCCTCTATCCTAGATTTAATTGTGAGACCATTTCTCAATATTTATTTAGAAGTTTAAGAATAAAAATGACAACTCTCTTCCATATTGGCATTTTCTTTAAAAAAAAAAAAAAAGAGAGAGAGCTTAGCAGCAAACAGTTCCCTACAGCTCCAGCTGTCCTGGAATTCACTATGTAGATAGTGCAGGCTGGCCCTGATCTCACCGAGATCTACCTGCCTCTTCCTCCAGACTGCTGGAAATAAAAGGTGTGGGCTACCATGCCTGGCAATCTGGACCTTACTTTTGTCTCACTTATCTGAAAAGATGGAAAGAGCCTTTAAATGAGGGCGAAGGGTTATGCACTCATTACTGAGGTCAGAGTATAAGGTACAGAGAAAGAATTTATTTCTTCTAGTTGTTTATAGTCACCTCATTTTCTTCTCAGACTTGTGACTGAAGTTATTTTTCTCCCATCTGTTATTTTCTCCGTAATTTCCTTTTACATTTTTCAACTTTGAATTTTGTTTGGCTGCCTCAGAGTTTGGATCAAAAGAAGTCATAGTGATGTTTAACACCCTCCTGACATGTTCCATGTCTCTTATTGTTTATCCACCCTTTCATCTCTCCTGCTCGTCTATTCCCTATGGTCTTTTGTAGTCTTTCAGATTCCTAAAGCTGAGAAAAAAATGTATGCATTATGATAGTACCTGCCATGTCCTACACACGCATATCACCATCCAACAGTCTCCACGCCCTGGCCTGGCTCTCTGAGTTGGAAAGCCATGCAGATGATCCCAAGTGAGGACTGCACTCAGATTCCCTCTCCCTTGGACTCACTTAAAAGAAATTTTTGCACATTGAAAATATGTTTTCTATGCTCCCAGCAACTAAATAAAATATTGGATTCCATTATAAGACCTTAGGGTTGGTGGTCCAGTTGCCGTGGTGCAGAGATAATGTGAATTTAGGGCACCTTTTTTGAAGGGAGTCAGGAGCCAACAAGCTCCCAAACCTCAAATGAGCAGATAAAACAAAAAGGCACTGAATTTTCCCATTAATAAAACTCATCTTGATAAAATTCAGAAATATTTAGAAGAAACTTACTTATTTAGAATTGTAAGTTTTTACTAACTACATGAAGGCATAATAACTTTTGCATTAAACAATCAGTTTTTTCTCCAAAATTACATTTGGGACACTAAAATGTATCCAGCAAAATAAAAGGTAATGTGTGCATTATTTTAAATCTGACATAGGCAAAATACAGAGTAAAAATGTATTTTTAAGTTGCCTAAACATTCCCATTGATTCTTCCCCCAGATTAAAAAACGTTTGAGTTCTAAGAGTATGGATAGACGCCTATGAATTCCAGCGCATGTTACAAATTTAAGGTTGATATTTGCTGCACATACACATTACTCAAAAGTACTCTGAATCTAAAATTCATAATCAGAATACGGTTAATGGTTAAATATAACCATAAATATTCTACTTTAACAGCATCATTCCTTTCTACCACACTTGGCAGAGACAAATACCAAATGAAAATTATACTTGTTATCATGGTAGAACATTTAACAGGTCTCAAATGGTGCTAATAATTACTATAATAAACATTCATTGGACTAAACTTCTCCATATAATCATTTAAAATAATTACAGGAAGGGTGGTTATTCAAATACTTTTAGTCTTGCAAATAGCTAGAAGGCAAATGCCAAATGTAAGTTTAAGAAAATTTAAACAATAAAAAATGATACTTGAAGTAGTGCCTACCAATAAGTTGGGTTACAACTAAGAGGAAGGAAAGAATAGTGCAAGCCCAGCCCTGAGGGCATGTGGGTAATTATACTGTCCATGCTGAGGTTTGTCTTAATGTTGAAAGGTCTGTTTGGGGGCACCATTGAATTCTACTTTGCAAGAGACACTGTTATTTGCTTTCTAGCCTTGCAGCCTCATTTTTGGCTTACGGAAGTAGTCTCTGACTAATCTGGTTAATCTATTTCAAATCATATTATGCATTTTAATCAGTTCCTAAAGCATCCCTTTGATCCAGAAGGTAATTCAAATTTTTCTCTCAGGGAGTCAGAATCTACTACTTGTTGACTTCATTTCATCTTGATTGTAGTGGAGCTCTTTGCTGTGCTGCAAATATTAAAGATTGGTCTGTGACTTTGCTCACCATTTCTCTTCTTTAGACAACCCCATTTCATCCTTCAGGGTCGTACTCTGAGCATGCATGCCACATTCTTCTCTCTGATGAGTCCCGCTGTGAAATATGTTCTTGAAAGTACTACATTAGCTATCTGATTTTACTGGTTGATATTGATTATAAATCCGCTCTCCTCTTTGAGTATGAACTTCTAGAAGCAAGGCCACCACTAACTTATCTCTTATTTTTCACAGTATCATCCAGAGCACTTCTGACATATTTGGTCATTATTTGACAAAAATTTTTCTGATTAAAAATGTGACCATTTCAGTGCAGTCATGATCCCACAGTAGCTCTGGCTGCCTGCAATGAGCCAGCGCAAGACTAGGCCTATAGTAGTCAATTGTGGATCAGAAAGGGCTTCTAGGGCCCTTTAACTCTCTCTGCAGAACTTTTGACTACTGGTGGATGCTGGAGGACAAACACTCGCTGTCTTCACTTGTGTGTACATCCAATGGTGAACACACCAGACTTCAGTGGATAGTCCCAAATCCATGGCCACATAGCTGGTCATAGTTAAATTTAGTAGATTTAGAAACTAAAATTCATGAATGTGGGAAAGAGACTTTGGGGAAGGTTGGTGCGGTTAGTAGAGGTGGACGGAGATTAGAATAAGTGGGAGTTACAGTAATCAGAATATACTTTATACGTGTGTAAAATTGTGAAAGAACAAACTCAGTAAAAGTTTCCTAAAAGTGACCACTCAAGATTATGTGGTTATAATCCAAAATTTAAGCAACAACTGGATTGACAGCTTTCTTTTGTATTAAAGGTTAAACCTGAATAACACAGAGCAGTGGCTAGTCACAGGATTATCCACAGCTGGTCTCTTCAGTGGCCTGAAGCCTGCCAGACAAGCTTCAGTTATTATTTTGTCAATTCTCATTTATAAAATATTCACTGCCTTTGTCTGAAAGAGGAGTTTCACACACAGTCTAGATGCACGATTCCAATATCAAAATGGCACACACACATTTTAATGGTCCTTTCACCCAAAGAGATACGAAATGAATAAACTCCATACATGTGGAGGCCATGTCATTGAGGACTCACAGAGCTTAGGACAAGAAAATTCAGGCAGGAGTTAATAGGTCTCACTATAGCCTAACAAAATGTAGGTAATTTAGTGTGTGGATTTTCCTTGAATTCTAAGTGAAATTCCACTAGACAAGGATGGACTTACGAGTCTTGTTTCCACAGTGACAGGCTTTCGTTCTCTTGGTTTATCTGAGGTGTAGCACAATCTCTATTGTGGGAGTAAGGCGGAATTAGTAAAGGTGAATCTTATGCAAATTGTAGAGGCTGATTAAAGAATGACAAAAAGGTTTTAAGTACCATGACATCGAGGTGTGTTTGCCATCTCATGGGCTAACTTGTGGATGCCCGACTTTAACACAGGACTGAGCATACCAATCAGTTAATTATGGAGTAATAGAAGAGTCTACTTTTAGTTGAATTCACAAGTGATGATAAAATACAACAGCCAGGCTGAGTAATTTACTCAAGTTGCCAGTAACAATAACTCACAGGATCAGTATTCAAACGGTGTCCTTGTGATGCAGATGGAGCCTGTGGCCGGCAGGATTACTGTGGGTGCCAAGATTTCTGTTTCACTTCCGGATTGTGAAGTGTGTGTGTGTGTGTGTGTGTGTGTGTATAGGCTAACGTGTTACTTGGGAAAAAGGAACTCATTCAATTGGAGCAAGTGGTGAAACAGTCACTAGAAGATGTAGTATATGAGTTTGAATATAAAAAGAAAATGGTGACACTCTAGCTGAGAAACATCTGGATGAATGTGGACCTGAGGATGGTCTGGTGTCTGGAGCTGAAAGAGAAGTTCACACAAGGGCTGAACTCAGGATACAGGACCAAAGGTAGCAGAGATATTGGGGCCAGATCACAAACTACCTGTTATAGTGTTTTATTTTAGTGTGCACATGTGTTTGTATGTGTATGTGTGTTTTATAAGTTAATTGACATGAATGATCAGCACTTTGAGACAAGGAGAGAATCACAAAATATAAGCAACACATCAAGCTTCAACTTTAGCTTATAAAAGTTTCCCCAATTCTGTGTATCTAAATGCATTTATCTGCTTTCTCTGTACCGCCACAGATCTTCATAAACAATGAATGGCATAATTCAGTGAGTGGCAAAAAATTTCCTGTCCTTAACCCTGCAACTGAGGAGGTGATCTGCCATGTGGAAGAAGGGGACAAGGTGAGTTCACGGTCCAGTTTCTGGAGGATTATTGCTTACCATTCTGAGCTCACAAATTCATCACAAGGTGAAGGCAGCCCATTAAAATATGGCTGCTCTGGTAGCTGAGGAAGTGCTCTCCTGTCATTGGTCCAAAAACAACACTGAGGAGTTGAGTCCGTCGTGAACCTGTGCTTTGGGTACTGAAGTGATTTTTTTCCATGTTATTTTTCCTTAATTGTTTTTCACTCCGAATAATATCTGGATTTATTACATAGACAGAAGAGTAAGGAATTCCTCTTAGGTGAAAATGGGGAAATTTTAAAAACATTTTACTTATTTATTTTTATGTATATGAGCATATTGCCTGCATGTATGTTAACAGAGCCACACAAGCCTATTTCAAGATAGCCATAGACCTTAGATATGAGCCTTTTGGAATTTGGGGGAGATCATGGATTCAGATTACAGCATTATGGGAACAAAGTTAGATCCAGGCCTTGAAGGACAGGGACTCAGAGTTACAGCTCAGGGAGCAAATGGTTAAGAAATAAACAGAGAATGGAGAGGTGTGAGAGTCTTTCTGATTTTACCATGTACAACTTCTTCCCTTGTCTTCTCACTGACTCAGGGAAAAAGTCCATCACAAAGGACCTTTGTAATATGACTCAACCCTTTGTTATGGCTTCAGTCCCAGACCACCTCAACAATGGAAGAACTCCAACTCCACACGGCCCAGTGTCCCGCCCACCCAGTCATAGCCTTATGTCTGCTCACTGCTTCTGTACATAACTACAGTGTAGTCCTCAGGGACTGGTCCCAGCCACTCTGCAATGCAAATGCTAGGGTTGCATGTTCTGCTCACTCTCTTTCATGTCCTCTTTGTTGTTGTTGTTATTTCATGTAAAAGGAAGAAATGGGAAAAATTTGGACGACTAAATAAAAAATGTAAAGATCTTCTAGCCTGAGATAATTCATTCTTGCAAGGATCAATGCTTTTCCTCATGTTTCTATCAGCAGGTACACTAAGAAATACTTCATTGAGTTTTCTCTTCCAGTGAGCTTTGAATTTCACATCCCACACTCCATGTCTTAGGAGTCTAGAATTCACCCACTTAATTGGTTCTGAAAATTGTTATCAGAATGTCCTAGAAATTCTAATCAAAAACATCCCTAAGTCCCCTGAGGACCTTTCCATAATATTAGAGTGAGTCTGAGAACTTGCATCTCAGAATATTTTTCAGTATGCTAGTATTACTTGGGGTAAAAGAAGAAGAAACAGACTTTGAGAAACAATGAATGTAAAGTATTAAATACTTTGTGTCTCCTTTCAAGGGTTATTATTAGTATTTAGTATGGGATATGAACTTTTAAAACAGTAATAATCACATACATATATTTATGGGGTAAAATAAGCTAAGTCATTACATGTACGTGATGTATAATGATAATCACATTTCTGTGTCCTCACACATTCATCACTTCTTTGTTTTGGACTGTCTCTAGAACTATCATTTGAACCCACTGTTCACCCTCCATCTATTGCTCCTCATACTTCCCCATATTTTCTAGTAAGACATGATTGTACTCTTTTCTTCTTTCATATCTACAGTTTTGACTTTCAGCAACGAATTATGACCGTGCAGTCTCCTAGCTTAATTCCCTTTAACAAAGTGTCCTTTAACTTCATCATTTTACTACAAATGATAGGATTTTATTCTTCTTACACGTGAATCATATTACATTCTGTATATTTATATTTTTTAGCCACCTATCACCTGATAAACGCAAGCTAATTTCTTATATTGGCTAATATAAATAGCTCTGAGATAATGTTGAAATAGAGGTAACTCTGGTTAATTGACCTTGTTTCTTCTGGTTACATACTCTAAATTAGGATACTTTGATTATATAGTGATTCTGTTTTCAGTTCTTAGAGGAAACCACACTATTATGCGTAACAATGAACTCAGATTCCCATTAAAGTGTTTAAAGGTTTCTTTTTCTCACATCCTCAACAATACATTTCATGTTTTTCTTTTTTGATAATAATCACTAGAGTTAAAATGAGCTGATGTCAATCAATGGTCATGCTGATTTGCATTTGTCTAATAGTGATGTAAACATTGTTTCTATTGTTGCCTGTTTGGACAGATAGTTTCCATTTAGATTAGATTATTTAGTAAATTTTATTTAGTCTGTTATGAAGTCTGGTAACTAATTCTTTGTCAGATGACAAATCTATGATTTGTTTCTCTAAAATAGACTAACTATTTGCTCACTTGCTCTTCACATCTGTGGTTTGAATTTGTAAATATTTGCTTTTTTTTAATTTTAGTTTAGGGCTTGTATTTTTGGGAACTGCCACCAGAAATCACTGTCTAGACCAAGCTCTTGAAACTTTTACCTATTTTCTTTTAGTAGCACAGTTTCAGGCTTTCATTTGGGTTATATTGGGTTGATTTCTGTCTATACTGAAAGGCAGGCTCTACCCTAATTCTCTTTCTATAGCTAGCCAGTTTTTCCATCACCTTCATGGAAGAGGCTGGCTTTTCTGTAGCATATGTTATGATGTCTTTGCTGAAATGGCTGCAGATGCATGAAGAGACGTGGATTTGGGCAAGTGTAAAAGCTGAAGACTTTAATGACTTTTGATGTCACCATGACGGTGCATCTTCATGTATTGCTAGAAAACCAAACGTTAGCAGAGAAATGCTTAGCAGCATGGTGGTGTGGTAGAGACCTGGAGGCCGTACCTCTGAGCTAATCCCAGAAAGGAGAGAAAAATAGTTTTGACATTGAGAAAAAGGAGTGAAGACCTTTTATCAGAGACCTCCACACATTTTGTTATCTCAGATGACCTTCTAGCTCGTTAATTATCTCCAGCAAGCCTGAGGGGCAAAGAAAAGGGAAAAAAAGCACAAAGCCTGGGCTTTGCCCTGGGTTCACAGGGAACATGTTGCTTTGACATTGTGATCGGTCACTAGAAAACTTATCATGCAATCTAAAGACTTCTTCTGGGGAATTTTGAGGTTTACCTTCCTCTGGAGTTATAAAGGGAAAGCTGAGGACCAGCCCAGCAGTCTCACCAATAGTTGCCATCTACGTGCTCTGTACTTAGTGGCAGTTGCTCCTCCCAAGGAAGAGATCAGGACATTTGTTAACACCCATCGAAGCTGCATGTCAAGTCACAATGCTAATCACATTGGCTGGACAAATAAACCTCTGATGAAACTGTTGGTAAATGCAAAGGGTGGTAAGAAAGGTTTGCTGCACATCCACCTTCCTGTCCCTTTTCTTATACTCTTTTTCGGAATTATTTTTAAATTTTTTCTTTTAAACATTATTGTTTAAAATTATTGAAGTGATTGGTGAGGAGACAAATGAATAATAAATTAGCACTGCTTAGAGATAGGTACAAATCTGATCAATTGCAGAATCACAGTAAACCTGATGTTCTGGAATGACTCATTAGGCCATGAACTAAAAGGTATTGGAGATTCCATTCATGAGTGGAATGGAGCTGACAGTGGACCACATCCAGCCTTTCATGGGATCCCAGGGGCGGGGCAGGAGCAAGAGCAAATGCAGGTTGCTAAGCGCAGCCTGCATGTGGGTGGGAACTGTTTTCTTTTCACTTCAGTGGCTCTTTTAGGAACCAAGGACTAATCCTAAAGCATGAGCTAATTGATAATTGGTGGGGTTAAAACTAAATGTCCATTAAAGTAAGTGCTTCAGACAGGTGTGAAAGAAAACTGGTCTGAATGGTATTTTCTCTTTCTATGAATGAACTTAATATGGGGATATACATTCCAGGAGAGATGGAAGCATTCAGTCCTTTCCCAGCTAGGCTTAAGAGGCTCTAGACATCTCAGCACCATTCTAACTGCCTGCATACACTCCACCTTTAGACCCTGACTTCAAAACATGATATGGTCCACAGTGTTTTCATAGCCACAAAATGTAGATCTAAAAATTAGCTTCTGATTAATTCAAAATTGTATGTTGGAAATGCCAGTCCCTGAATAAAAATCAACAAAATGACGGCCTTGAAATAAAAAAAAAATACTGAAAACAAAATAAATAACTTTTATGTGACTAGTAATTTTGGATAATGTCAGTTTTGTTACATAATAAAATCTAATCATTTAAAAATGATGTTATATAAATGTAAACAAAAATAAATTATATAAAGCATAAGACATGGCTTTATGTGACATCAATGTAACAGGTTTATGAGATAGCTAACAAAATACTTAAATATTATCTATTACAGGCCAGAATAATAAGGTGTCTTAGAGCTTATGATACAGATACATGCAGCTACAGTGAATACTCTATGCAGAGGCAACACTGTTTAACAGCCTTGCTGAGACATAGGAATCAGATGTGGGGGTTTGATGTAGTATCAGGTATTGGTTCTGTTTTCTGCTGTATTTCACAAGCATATGTTTACTTACCAGTAATACAGGGTTCACGGTTATGTAAATATAGTTTTAACTTGAGGCTATAGTCTCTATAAAGAACTTGCTTCCTGTCTGGAGCTTAACAGTCTTTTAATTAGTATTTGTTATTAAGTTGGATATTGCGTGACTATTGAGGTAGGTTGTCGTAGTGAGCTGAGTCTTGGGAAATGTGGAGGATTTTGAAAACAAAGGGGCTTGCAGGTAGAACATTCTATCCAAAGAGAATTTTAGGAGCAAGGGTGAAAAGTGCTGGGTCAGAAATAGCAGGAAAAATGTAAACAAGAAGCTAAGACAGGTTGGGGGAGGCCAAAATGTTGGACCTTGAAAACCAAGCAGAGGATCTTGCCTTTAAGATAGTGGACAAAGTCAGCAGTTACAATCATAAAGGGAAAGTGATAAGATAAGTTGTGGGAGGGAAACTGTCCTGGAGGACTATCAAGACAGTGGAAGGGGAAGGGAATAAATGGCCAGATGCCCAAGATGTGCAACAATAAAGGCTTGTGTAGTACAGGGCAGTAGAAGCTCAAAGAATGTGCTAGAAAGTAGGAGCTGGAAGTAGTCATTTACTGTTGATTTGTCTTCTAGGACCACAGTTGTCTCCTTCTAGTGAGCACTTAGCATGTCTGTCACATATAAAATGTGAGACAACTTAATTCTGATTTTAAGATAAGACAAATGAACTTCAGACAAATTGTGGCACACTTTCACTTTAGATTGGAATAGACTTTCTGCATCCACAAGTTACACATCAGTGAATGCAACTACCCAGGCATCAGAATGTGTAGTCACTGATGTGGACATGTAATTAGGCCTCTCACAGCTGTGTGGATGATGAATGTACAGACATTTTTCATGCCATCATTCTCTAACTACAATATGACCACATCTTACCTAGCCTTCACATTATATTAGGTGTCAGAAGTAACCTGGAGATGATTTAGAAGACATGGAATGAAGCCTATAGGTCATATGCAAATATTATGAGAATTTATCATCCATGATTTTAGGTTGTTTTCAGGCACTGTGGATCCGGTTCCTCCTGGATCCTGAGGGAAGACTGTGTTTCACACATTTTATAATATGATAGAGTGATGATTCACTTTTATGTCCCTCCAATTTGAGTGATTATTTTTAAAGAAACTTCACTGTTCTATCATTAACTGACTAATAGAGTGTTCTAGTGTTGATGAATGGATGGATGGATGTTTGGATGCCTCAAAACTTACATACAGAATGGGGCTAGAGAGATGGCTCAGAAGTTAAGAGCATTGGCTGCTCTTGCAGAGGAACCAGCACAAACATGGTGACAAACAACCATCTGTAACCCCAGTTCCAGGGTATTTGACACCCTCTTCTGTCTTGCATGTTCATTACACACAGGTAGACTTACATACATGCAGGCAAAATGCAAACATTTAAAATAAAAATAAAAATTGTAAAAAGCTTCTGACACAGAGAAAAAGAAGAAATCAGAAGGACCCACATGAAATCTGTCACATAGGTCTGTGTAACACAGAGCTGCAGAAGTACCCACAACTGTGTAACACAGAGCCAGGGTACCCACAGCTCACACCAGCAAGCTCGGATTCTTGTGGTTTGCTATTGCTTCTGTACACATACTGTAGGGAATGAGACAAGATCTGAAAGGAATCTGCAGAGGAATCAAGTGACTGTGGTAAAGTCTGGAAGGGAGAGGGATTGGGAAAAGTTAAGGAGTACACTAAAAGAAAACACGATAAAGAGAAACAGACGTGCGAAAACAAGAAAGCTGAACTGGGGGGTGTGACTTTTTCTGTCATCTACTTTTGCTTGAATCAATGTGGTTTTCAGCATTGTTATTAATAAAAGAAACTGGCTGCTTCTCTTAATTAAGGAATACAGTAGATCATTTTGTACCCAGTTGGCAAATGAGGGTTTATCATACAGAGTGCTTTGGTCTGAGTGTGAAATATCACCACACAGACTCATCAGTTTAAGCAATTGTCACCCAGGTCTTGATGGCAGCAGTAAGGCCATATAGCAGGGCATTATTGGTTATCACCCAGATTCAGTGACATCTTGACTTCTCCCTGCTTCCTGATCCATGATTACATGAGGATTCCCAGTCCCACACTCATGCCACCATGCACTCTGCCCTGCCATCCCCACCATGATGGGCTGCACCCTTCAGATTGTGAGCTTTGCCAACTCTGCTCTGCTCCTACTGGCCGAAAGGAATGAGTATGTGTTTATAGTACCATCAGTGAAGTTCTTAACCAGTCTTTAATAAGAACACTGTGGGGGTAGACATGCTATACAAGCTCCAGAGGCCCCTGAAGATATCTGCTAACTGGGATCTTGAGTGGGGCCCAGAAATCTTGTCTCCCCATCACCACAGGAATAGAGTATGAAATGCAGAGTGGGATGTCCACAGGCAGGCAGGTGCTGTATAAAATGCACTTGGCCACTCTGAGTTATTCACCCTGAAATCTCTTTGTCTTTGCTTCAGCTTCTTCATCTGTAAAATGAGGAACAAATTTGACGCATAATATTATTTGGAATGGAATGAGCTAATATGTATAAATTTATTAGAACATTATTTCAAATAAACTAAATACTAGCATCATATTAAGATACAATAAACCAACTATTGACACAACATGGCCTTGAAACATGGTAAAGGTACTTGCTGCCAAGACTGACAGCCTTGAGTTCAATTCCTGGGACCCAAATGGTGGAAGGAAAGAACAGACCCTAGCAAGTTGTCCTCTAGCCTCCGTATGTATGCCATAGCACCTGTGTGCATGCACACCCACAGACATACAGAAAGAAAGAAAGTTAATTTTAAAAACTTTTAAAAACAGAACATTTCTATTCTAGGAATTCAACTTTTGATAGCACATACAACTTATTCTACAGATTAACCAGAGGAATCATTCCAATATACTATAATGCAAAGTGTATAGACTGCTGCACTCTGGGCTAATGGAGACATGGCCTCAACTTCTGCTCATGAAGCCTGTGGTCTGTTTTATAAGGTTATGGTCACTGGATTTGGTCATCCAGTATGTTGACTATACTGAATTCACTTCTCTTACATGTTGAATATACTGAGTTGACTTCTCTGTGATTTCCAGGCAGATGTTGACAAAGCAGTGAAGGCTGCAAGACAGGCTTTCCAGATCGGGTCCCCATGGCGCACCATGGATGCTTCCGAGAGGGGCCGCCTCCTGAACAAGCTGGCTGACTTAATTGAAAGAGATCGTTTGCTGCTGGCTGTGAGTATGAGCCTCATGAACAGGAAGCATGGTGGGAGCTCTCAAAAGTGCTTCCAGTTCAAAGTTCATGCAGTGAGTGCTGTAAGGCAGCACTAACTTGCCTTCACTCTGAACTTCTTGGAGCCCTTGACAAGTTCAAATTTTCTGTAATGTCCTAGGTTTCTGAAACTTACTTGATCCTGAAGTCTTTTAGGGGAAAATTCACAAAGATTGTTTAAAGTGCCCAAAATATTTCTCTGAAATAATTTTATTTGTAGATAGCCTAACTTACCAAAATATTTTTTAAATGGCTATTTTCCTGCCATATGTTTCTTGACAATGTTCATAACTAAATGATATGCTTTTTGATTTTCACGGTGAAAAAGAAGTAACAAAATAGAATCCAGTTTTTAATGTGTTGATTAAAATCATATTTCTTTTATTTATTTGTTTTTATTTTATGTGTATTCGTGTATTGCCTGCATGTAGGTAAGTGCACCCGTGTTGTGCAATGCCCGCAGAGGTCAGAAGAGGCTGTCAGATCCTCTGGGACTGGACTTCCGGACAGTTGTTAGTTGCCATGTGGGTGCTGGGATTCGACCCCGGGTCTTCTGCAAGAACAGCCAGTGTTCTTAACTGCTGAGCCATCTCTCCAGCCCCTAAAATTGTATTTCTATGTTTCGAGGGACTATGCTCTTTAATTTTTTGTTTAGATAAGTCAGCATATAACATGGGTGGGGAAGGCCATTCCTTTGTCCTCTCAGGCCAGCATTCTAGTAAAGCCAATTCAGGGTTCAGTAGTATCTTGGTTAGACTAAGTTTATTATTATTATTATTATTATTATTATTATTAACCCAGGTTAGAGTAAGCTTATTATGTTTAGAATCTTAAGTAACTGTAAGAGACTTTCATTTTATTAAAATATTAGCATTATTTAAAGAATTACTCTTCCTCAAAATTCTGCATTGTTCAAAATATACAAAAATAGAATCACTAGCTATGCACAGTAAAACTGCCCTCACCCTGTGCTCTATGGGAAGAACGCAGGCTTTTCCAAAACTTCATTCTTTCATTTTTCTTATGCCTGAAGTGTGAAATGTTAACGGTCTCTGTCTGCTTGAGATCCCAGGGAGAAGGGACACACACACATACACACACGCACACGCACGCACACACACACACACACACACACACACACACAATCATATTTGTTTGAATTTGCGAGCAGCGAACAACATGATACGGAAGTGTAACAGCTGTAGCCTCCAGGTGATGTTCCCATAGAAAGTAAGATTCCAAAGAGTCCTTTAAGATCTGAGCAAGAAGACAAAAAAGAAAGCGAGAACTAGACCAAAAATGCCAAACTGTACAGTTGAAATAATTGCTGAAACCAGCAGGTTTGTAACTTGAAAATTCTGCTGAAGAAAATCCATGGTGAAAGCAATAGGAGTTGAGGTTGTATGAACAGACTGTTTATATGTGCATGGAATAGCATGTTGAAACATGATCACTGAGGCCCTGTTGCAACACTAAACTGCAAACACTAAATTGTCACCACAGTTGGATGACAAGTGCAATCTTGTTGGAACTCCGATATGACAAGGAGGCAAAGCGTCATTTTCACAGCTGTGTATTTGTGAAATTGTGACCAGTTCTTATACATTTCTTAGCTGCAACTTAGAATGTGACAGAAAGAGCACCAGGATCTGGCAGTCAGATTCTCACCATGCCTCCACCAGGATCCTATCAAGCAACCAAAACCCAGTTTGTGAACTCTTAAGTTATCTGACTTTTTCTTGTTATTTTTTAAGAAATTTTGTTCAAGATGATACAAGATTTCTTATATTTCCAAAGTTCTCCATACCTAACTACTGAAAATATTGACTATTCTTTTTCAAATGATTTTATTCTTTGAAAATTTCATATATTTATACAATGTATATTGATCACGTCAACCACCATTGCTGCCCTCCAGCTCCCCCTACTCCACCTCCCCCACAACTTTGTGTCCTTATTTTTTATTATTATTAAATTGATGCGTCCAATTAGTGTTGCTCATTGTGTATATGGCATATGCCCATCCTTTATGGAATGAGTAACCCAGCAGCAAGCTTGCTCTAATATTTTGATGCAATTTTAGACTTTGGTATTGGTCTATTTTTCAGACAATGGAGTCATGTAATGCTGGAAAACTCTTTTCCCATGCGTACCTGATGGACTTAGGAGGCTGCATAAAAGGACTAAAGTACTGTGCTGGCTGGGCCGACAAGATCCATGGCCAAACAATACCAAGTGGTAAGTCAATTTGGGAAACCACCGGGGTGGTGGTGGAGGCCAATGTGACAAAGTTGAATCCTTGCAAATTCTCCCTTATAAAGATGTCAACCAGTGAGCAAAAACTGTTTTCCTTTTAACTTTGATCCAACAGTTTTGAAGATGGAAGCTCTGTTAAAAATCAGCAATTTATTTTTTATATTGTTTCAGTTAGTCAAGGCAGGAAATAACAGGGTGGATATTTTAGGCAGCATTCAAGAAACAACATTATCATAGACTCAATTACTAACTTGAATGAAGTGTCTAAGGGCCCCAACTTTTCAAATCTTGCCACTGAAATTATTTGAGCTTCAATTCCACAAAGACATTTTATGCCTTTTCTATAATGCAATTGTTTAAGTCTCCTCATGTTCCAGAAGGAGGAAGGTCTGCTTATCTGTGCCTGTTGAGACTAATGCACTTAGAGCAGAGTGATTCAATAAACTGATTTATATTGATGTGTTCCAAAGGGCTTCAAAGCAAGATGAAGCTTTCTTTGTAAGCTAAGAATCTTTGCATGGGCTGGGCATGGTGATCCAGCACTTGGGAGGCAGGCAGATCTCTGTGAGAGGGAGGCCAGCCTGGTCTATACAGCAAGTTCCAGCCAGCTGGGACTGTAGGGAGAACCTGATTAAAAAAGATCAAGAAAAAAAGAATCTTTGCATGAAAGTGTGTATTACTTAGTGAGGCCTGCACACAGCAGAATGGATATATGAGGAGTTCAAGACTATTAAGAGTCAATTTGGAAAGAATGAAAGTAAACGTTCTCTTATGTAACTAATGACTTTAAGAACTCAGAGAGTGAACTTCCAGTTCTAGTCCTGATGTGCATTTCCCAGTCTAACTGTAACATCACTGTGAGAGGTGATGGCTTGGAGGTTAGTAGAAAAGAATTAGACAATAGAGGCACCAGGAAGTGTGGCTGCTGTTTTACAGCCTTGTTTAGAAAGCACAGAGACAGAGTGGGACATTTTAGAGTAGCAAAAAGCCCCATTAAAAAAAAAGAAAGAGTACATGAAGTTGTCAAGAAAAAGTGATGAGGAGATATGGGAGGAGTTGGAGGGGAGGGAATGGATGGATTTGATCAAAACACCTTATATGCATGTATGAAATTCTCAATAATTTTTTTTTTAAGTTAAAAAAAAGAAAACATAGAGAAAGCCATTTAAAATGCCAAGGATCTTCAGAGGGAAAGTATTTACTACAAGAGCCAGCAGGTGCCTGTGGCAAACAGAACAAAACAAGATTCAAAGAACAACAAAAGTTTGAGAAGAACAGCAAAGTGAGGCAGGGGAGTCAGACAAACCCAGATGGAAAAATCCAGTTTTTGCTTCAAATATGTTTCTCATAGATTTTGGTAAAGACATTTGGCTTTTATGTCTTTTATGTACCCAAGAGAAAAACCTGCAATTAGAACTAGTCAGGAAAAAGGTTTCTTATTCTTGGAGATATAGTTTACTCTTTTAAGAAGCATTTTACCTTTTTAAAAGTTTGTACTGCCGGAAGAATTTGAGATACTGGAAACATACTTGTATGTGGCTCATCACTTACCCAGAAATGAGCATGCCTCCTTTCCCACTCCTTTCTACCAAACGTTGTGAGTAAGGATGGTATGGAAAACAGCCCTCCTAGATGATGAGAGATGGAATAATCTTTCAAATATTTTCCCATCTTGCATCCTTAGTTTCACCTAAGGCATTTCTTCATTTCAAATTTCTCTTTAAGAGTTCCATTTTTTGTTTTGTAAAACATTAGAGATCTGATTGTTTCTCTTTTCTTTTTATTAATTGCTATAAAACATCCTGTCATATGAACTAAAGCACCTGTCCATGAATATACCATACATTTGCCCTTACTGGATTGTGTGTTTACTCTAATTTCCAGATGGAGACCTTTTTACTTTTACAAGACGGGAACCTATTGGTGTGTGTGGCCAGATCATTCCTGTAAGTTGTGCTCCTACTTGATTCAAAATGAGGAGAAAAGAAAGCTCTAATTTCATTTATGTATTGATGAAGCTTGTGTTATTCTAACACAAGTGGATGCTTGTGTGTTGGTTAATTATGGAGTAAATTTCAACAAGTATGGTTGGTTGAACCCAGTGTCTCTGTGACTGAGCTTCTTGGATATGAATTAGCTGGTCCAAAAACCTCTCTGTATGCTGACATATCTTTTGAGGGCATTTCAATATTACCACATCAAGTCCTTAGTGTTTACCAAGGATGACTTTTAAAAGTTGTATTATGTTCTTCTTTTTATGAAATGTTGCTTATATGCATATTACATAGTATTTATCATGGCACATCAGTACAGGGTCACAACTTCAGGAAGACACAGCAGGGCCCACTGCTCCCCAGCACTTTCGTCTCCTGTTTAAGACTTTTTTCATCATGGGCAATAGCAGCAAGAGTGTTGAATTCCTTAAAGATATTTTTAATTAAAATGAAAGAATTGATCCCCATGACACTTGGATCACTGTGTGGCATGCATTGTACCTTTAGATAGCAAGACTGTATATTCAAAGTTCCTCTACTAGAAAATAGTGAACTGAACGGAGCTAGAAGACTTCCTTTAATCTTAACAAACAGGACAATGAACGTGTACATATAACTGACATACTTCAGAAGGCTAAGTAAAACACAGTGAGTTGTCCTGAAGTTTTTAGGTGAACTCTTACTCAATGAAACTGAACATTCTCCATATCAACATTTTAATGGAACTATTCATTACTTCGAAAGTAAAAACAAACAAAGAACAAAACAACAACCCTAACCCTACATCACCCTAACTGCTAATGACGGTTAATATATTTTCAGTTTGCCTGTTTTTTGTACTGGAGGTCTAATTCCGGACCTCACAGCTATTAGATGGGCATTCCATCATGAAGTATACCACAACTTGATTAATTTTTTGATTAGTCCTGAGGCCATCCATCTAAAGTAGAGAGGACTACGTTTAACACCTACAGGTGATAAACTCATGCACACAGAACCAATTCCTTGTCTGAGTTCTTAAGGCTGGCCAGTGGGTTTGCTGAGATTCAAATTCAAGCACTCATCCTCTGGATAGGAACCTTCTTTAGCTCACTGATGGAAAACATTTTCAACATGTACAGGGCCCTTGGTTTAATCTCAAGTATACACATACACAGAATCTCCTGGATATGGATAAGAATTCTGTTAAATGATATTATTTGATAAATATAATAAATGACCTGCCAGGAGATATAGGGAGATAATTTCATGCTTTTTTAAACATATGTAACATATAATATGCTTAATTACATACAAAATATGCACTTATATTTATTTATTTTTTATTTTTTCAATAGTAATTTCAACATCTTTCAATACCTAGATATGTAGCTAGAGTTAGCAAGAAACTTACTGAAAAAAGTAATTTTGTTAAGAAAATAAAGTGTTACTGAAAGCTATAAAAGAAAATATATTTAGTAGATTGGAAAACTCAGCATCATTTTAAAAATTTGAGAAGGGCTGGAGGTGGTTCAGCAGTCAAAAACACTCGCTGTTCTTCCAGAGGACCCGGCTTTGATTCCCAGCATCTACATGGTGGCTAACAACCGTCTGTAACTCCAGTTCCAGCAGATCCGATGCCCTCCCCGGTCTCTGCGGGCACTGCATTCACATGGTGCACCTACATACATGCAGGCAAAACACTTTTACTATGGAATAAGATTCAAAATGACAGCAGTTGATTGTGAGTTGCTCTTCTATTCACATCTAGTTTGTGGTTTATTCAGAGCTTTTCATCATTTAGCTATGAACCTAAGTGACATACACCAGATAATTACACACAACTTCTCAATTACTGTTCAACATCTATCAGAGAGGGTAAGTTGCCCTAGAAAACATGGTTTTAAGCTATATAAAGAGTCCGTTGTTCAATTTTGCTTTCTAGTGGAACTTCCCATTGGTTATGCTGATTTGGAAGCTAGGCCCTGCTCTCAGCTGCGGAAACACTGTGATCATCAAGCCAGCAGAGCAAACTCCTCTCACTGCTCTTCACGTGGCATCTTTAGTAGTAGAGGTGAGTCTCCAAAGTCAAAACATGCAGGCCAGTTCAGGAGTCCTGACTTACCTCAAAGACACTTAATTATGCTACTGTAAGTTGCTTATTCACAAGGGCCTCCTGCCCAAGTGAAGGGATACAAGCAATAGAGCTGCTGGCTGGGATTTCTGTCAGTCAGCACAAATGTGTCTCCATCCAAATACAGACAGAAAGCCAGACTCAAAAGCTTATAGCCAGTCACCTTGTAACCAATTATTTCTGTTGTTCAGTTCTCACTATATAAATTCATGGGGAAATACAGCATTCTTTCAAATGATGGAATGTTGAACTGATTTGTAACTGCCTTATTAATGGGACTGGTTGCCTCTGAAAAATTTTTTTAATGTTATGTTTTAGTTTTAATCTCTCTGAATCTTGGAGGTTACTGTGCCAATATGTTTGCCTGTAACATTAAGTCACACTATTCAAAGAATGTGTGTGGATGTTTGTATTCACCTTTCTGTTATAACTTCCTTTACATTTTCTTTCCTGTTCAAAGTGGGACAGAATACATGAAACTTTTTTTCAACTATCCAAAATAACTACTCAGTTCTTCTGCAAACTACTCATTGCCTTTCTTAATATCATGACAAAACTCAAACAAGGTTTAGGCACTAGCAGCTTAGAATTTATGAAATCTGAAATCATATTTTTAAATCTATTTTCATGTCAAATTAAAATAGGCAAAAGTGATATCAAGATGAGGGAATTTGATACAGTTGCCATTAAATTTTAATATGCCCAACTCAATCAATAGCCGGTAGTTTCTATTTTGATTCCTTCAGTGAGATGAACATCACTTTTCAAGTTTCATCCTGAGTATAATGGCTTTGCTTTCCTGACATTTTACTGATTAAACAAAATCAATGGGGATTTGCAACTCAACTGTTTTGTCCTGTGAAATCAATTTGACAAGCTAAAAATCCAAGATCCCCTTACCCTTTTAGTGTTGCAAATGATGAAAATAAATAACTTCTTTCCATATAAATGACTTACCATATACTCTTATACACTGTCTTTTGAGTTCCCCTTATGAAACTTGATACAGCTCATCACTGAGTAGTGGTCCCTTATGACAGACTTGCCCTTGGGTGGGAGTGTTCCTTAGTCATGTTGCCCTTAAAGGTATTTTCATATGGAGTAAGAAATTAAATAATAATAAGGAATAAAGGGTTTTCACAAAGTTATCATAAAGAAACTCAATCATAAATTCTCTTTCATAATTAAATTCTGAAATCTGTTTTTTTTTTCTTTTAAGTTTTACAAAATTTTTATTTATTTAATTAATTTATTTTTAATCATTTTTTAAATTTTTTAATAACTACATGATTAGAAGAAGCATTTCATTACCTGAAATCTGTTTTAACTGCTTCCTTCCTAACTTGTAGGCAGGGTTTCCACCTGGTGTGGTGAACATTATCCCTGGTTATGGGCCAACTGCTGGGGCAGCCATCTCCTCTCACATGGATATCGACAAAGTGGCCTTCACAGGATCAACACAGGTACTGTCATTCTCTGAGGTACATTTAAGGATGCCACATCGCTGATAATCAGAGCACGTTCTATGTAGCTCTTTCTAAGCCAGCACTGTCTCAAAACAGAAGTTGCTTTTAGTGATTTGCTCCTTATTCCAGCCTTCACATTTGTTTATATGGTACAAGCAAATGTAGTTTGGATAAAATAAAGCACCCATTGCAGATTCAGAAGGATTACAGCAAACCATTTTTAGTGTGTTCACTGTCATCTCTTAAGAGACATCTAGCCGCTAAACTAACTTGGTAAAGTTCATGACAGAAAATATAAATTAGGCCACAGTGATTTGTATGAAATTATACCTACAGCCTGGAGATCACGGAAATTACAACTTTAGCTCCTTCTTTGGGTCTATGTCTACTGAGTACATCCTGAGCAGGAGGCAGAAATTCAGGTTCCTTCTGTATTTCCACTGGCCTAGTTTAGATTTGCTGTGTATCTAGCTTCAGCTTGAGCAGATGAAAAATTGACAAACAAGACCATGACCATAAGCACTGGAACAAGAAGCAGCCAAGAAGAAGAGAGGGAGAGGCTTGGGAGACGTAATTCTAGGGAATGCCTAAGTTTCCATTATAAGTAAAAGAAAGTGTGGGCAGCACATTGCATCAAGCAAAGATGCTTTTGAGTAATCCGGTGAGGTTGTAATATTATTGGATAGTCAACACAAGAGATGATGTGGTCCTCATTGGCACAGGATGAAAAGTGAGCACATCTATCTTACAAATCTGCTAAGACATGTAAGAAATGGGTAAATGGCAGAAGGTGATCTGGTGTGAATGCCATCCTGCAGATGGGTGCCAGAATTGGTTCAAGGTTTTGAGAAATAGTTTCTGTTTTAGCTTTTTGAACCCTGAGAAGCAGGAAGAACTTTCTGCACACTGAGTTAAGGATAATTTGATTCTTTATAATCTTAGTTTGCTACTTCATTGTATTTTTAAAGCTTCATAGAAAACTGACATAATAAAACATTAGCTCCTGATTTTCTTGACCTTTTAAAATGCATTTGTTCTTTGTTTTCATAGAGTATAGAAAGATTGCTTTGTGTAACTCTTTAATTGAGATAAGGAAAAACTACCATGTAATCAGAAATTCCTATGAAAAAAATTCATATAATTCCCAAGACATGGTGAATAGTCTAGCAATGATGAGGCTCTAGGCTGATATTAGCACAGCGAAGGTGAAGGAGATGGGGACAAGTCTGGAATTCTGCACTGTCCCCACCATTGACACAAAGAGCATCTCTGAGTCCAGACCCTCCTCTCACTTCTGTTCCCCTGTGCCACGTGCTGCTGTTCCCTCCCTGATCGCCGCAGCACACTGTTGTCTGATTGATGTGATGCATCCTCAACCCTGAGCTGTTTTGAGGTTCTCAGATGACATTTTGAGGCCCCTTACCTTCAAAGAAAGGGATATTGATATTAGAAGACTGGGCAACGTCTGGGCTCAGGTTCTGTCTCAACCTCTCCTGTTACTGCGTCTCTGAAGTTGAGCGTCCTTGACAAATTCGAGTTTCTTTGAAAAAATCGGGACAGCAATATACATTTTACTTAGTTTTGCAGAACAAAAGCGAATGAGTTGGTAGAATAAGACCCTCTGAGCTTCCAGGAAACGGCCTGGTTCCAACGTGTTCACAAAATATTCCCATCTTCCTTTTCCTCCCCCACTCTACATTTTCACCTTAGCTTAGTTCTCGGGAGATGCATACCGGGACGCTTGCATATGACTTTCCTGGTCTCAGCCTCTGTGCACTTCTGCCTTCTGATAAGTCCACTCCTGTTTCATTTTCCAAGGCGTGAGTTTGTGTGGGCGTAAGCTACATTAGCCTGACTCCCAGTGTCCCTGCACTGCCTTGCACTTTAATTCTGCAGGTCTGAGAGAATCCTGAGCTAAAATCCTTCCCACTGTGTTCCCACTGTCTGAGTAACGTAATGGTGAACGTGATGTTCTTGTCCATTATTTCTCTTCTTGCCCGACTAGTCTCAAAGACTCTCTTGCTCACTATTATCCACAGAAAGAAGTACAGTTCTTTCTGAATAAATACTGAAGAAATAAATGTTAACAACAAGCTCTTAGAAGCCACAACAGGGAAAAAACAGCATTAGTCCAAACCCAATGCTCCTGGGAACCATTTTGCTTTGTTTTGTTTTGTTCTGTTTTGTTTTAGTTTGTTTTGTTTTGTTAAGCTTCGTGTTAGTTAAACTTCATGGCTTGTATTAGAGAATCTCGCAAATTCCATTCAAGAGGCAAATCATAGAGTGAAACCCTAATGGTCGTAAGACTGTGACACATTCTAACAAGAATTTTAGTGTCATTTAGATTCTTTTCGAACAGAATTGTAACTATAAGGCCGGATGTTTTCCTGAGCACTGGAAAACAGGGCTGCTTCTGCCCCACACAAGCAGGAAAAGTAGAAACCATGATGAACATATTAGTCACCCATGGGCTTAAGGGTTCTGACTTTTGTCTATACCACAATCTGTCTGGGAAAACAATACACTGTACTATTTCCAAATAATTTAAAATAATATTGTATTTCAAATCAATAAAAATGATTTCCTTAATTTCTGGGAAAACTCAAGCCAGCTTCTCGGCGGCCACCTGGACTTGCACTCATTAAAAAGAATCTTTCTTTCTCACTCATAGTTTAACCAGTTTTCATATTTTTAATGTCTGGAACTTTCAGGAAAATACTTCTGATATTATTCAGTTCCCCAAAACAAAAGCTAACTAAGCAGAATTTTTCTAATCAACTTTTTTTTTTTAAAGAAAATGAGGAATAAGAGCTCCAGGGAGAAATTGAAGAACTGATAAAGAAGGATAAATTTTTCAGATTTATTTTTATTTTTATTTTATGTGTATGAGTATATTGCCTGCCTGTCTTTAAGTGCACTTGTGTCATGCAGTGCCCACGGAGGCCGGAAGAGGGTGTTAGATTCCCTGACACTGGAGTTACAGACAGTTGTAAGCCTCTGTTGGTGCTGGGAACTGAACCTGGGTCCTCTACAGGAGCAGCCAGTGCTCTTAACTACTGAGCCATATCCTCAGTTCCATTTTTTATGTAGAAAATAGAAAATTCTCAATCAATTGAAATGAAAGTGTTCACAAGAACTGTTTTGTGGATGTTGGGAATGATAACACTTGGGTGGTGAAAACAAGAGGATCATGAGTTTGAGGCCAAAGTGAGCTACATTAAGAGATGCTAGTAGAAAATAAAATAAGAGGGAATGGAGGATGGAAGGGAGGAAGGAAGGAAGGGAGGAAGGGAGGGAGGGAGGGAGGAAGGAAGG